AAAAACTCCGTTTTCGTGTGGATGACAGGCCAAAACTTTGAAAAATATCTACGTTTTGGCAGATCCCCAGCTACGTGTGGACAGGGCCTAAGTCACAAGTCTTTCCAGTCAAGTCCAAGTTAAAGACAACCAAGTCCAAGTCAAGTCCAAGTCCTTAACTTTGAATTTTCAAGTCATAATCAAGTCATCTGTCAAACTTCAATTTAATGGCTTGCCTCTGTCAGTACGCCCCAGGGCAGCTGTGGCTACATCGTAGCTCATCCCCGCCAGTGTGTGAAAGGGTGAATGACTGGTTGTGTTGTAAAGCGCCTTGGGGGGTTCCAGGACTCCAGAAGGCGCTATATCAAATACAGGCCATTTACCATTCACCATAATAAATACATTTCAGAATTAAAGCTTCTTAAAACTTAATTTATTTGCTCAAACAAGCAGAAAGTGCAACTGAAAGTGCCGCTGCATTTAGCAGTAAAAATTCAGATGCAGAACAAAGAATGATTTATGTCCATGCCGTGTCACTTTTGTGCTAAAATATCAAATATGCTCAAGTCATCATCAAGTCAACAGATGCAAGTCAATTCAAGTCGCAAGTCATTGGCATTCAAGTCAGAGTCAAGTTGTAAGTCTTTATAGATTTTATCAAGTCAAGTCAGAAGTCATTAAAATAATGACTCGAGTCAAAGCCATGTGACTCGAGTCCACACCTCTAGTTCATAGGATTAGTACATGTAAAACAGGAAGAAGGTCACCAAATTAGGACCTATGAGTATTTTGTGGCATCACAATTGCATTTAGTACTTACTGTGAATTTACAGAAAACAGTTGAAAACATTACAGCCGGTGGATGAAAGACGAGATTCAAAAGGAGTTGAACCTCAACTCACAGCTAATGAATAAAACGCCACAATATCGGATTTTTGTAACAGGTGGAGAAAAACAACAGAGCTCTGCTTCAATTCATTCATTCATTCATCATGATGGCAGCTGAAAAAAAAAACCTGAACGAGAGGCACCATGGGAATCAGACTGTGCAGTTAAAAAATTTGAGCCGAAACGTGACTAGAGCAAACTCTGAGGCAATTATCCAGTAAAGAACGAGAACAGACGAAACAAGATGTCATCAGAAAGTGTCAGACTCAGTTCAGCACGCGACAGCGACTGATGGATGAGGCATACCGTTCACACGCCGCCTCCATCCTTCGATTGGGGGGCGGGGGGACTTTGCGACTGCAATATTAAAAATCCAAGGCTGAGTTGTGTCGGACACGCGAGGACATCTCCCACCAAACAAAATCTCCCAGAATTCCTACACGCGGGATGCTTACATAAACAGCCAAGGCTAAATTCATCTTTCTGACAGAATCATTTCCAAAAAAAAAAAAAAAACCCAAACCCCCAACGGGGCTCCTGGATGCACTTCAGAGCTGCACCAACTAGGAGGAAGTGTGTCAAAGTGTGTGTGGAGAGAAAACAGAGCCAAGAAGCCACGGAGAAAAGGTGTGTGTCATTCAGTGTAGATTACGGTGCGTCAGTCTCAGGTTTTACCTTCATTCTGATCCTTTTTAGACCTAATTTAGAGTAAACATCCCTCCATCTATGACTGAGGCCTTCTAAAATATCACATTATAGCCGAACGTTGAAAAGTAATCAAGATCATTAGTTCTCCAGACGCTTTGAAGGTCTTTCAAAGTTCTTCTGAGAAATATGGCTGCTATTTCACAAATCCCTGGTCCAGTCTTTATACTATACTATACTTTATAAGACCAGCTCAGTGGTCAAGTGGTAGAGTGACCGCCCTGAGTCTGGGAGATCAGGGTTCGATTCCTGGTCGGGTCATACCAAAGACTGAAAAAAATGGGACCCAATGCCTCCCTGCTCTACACTCAGCATTACGGGGTTGGATTGGGGGGTGAAACCACCAAATGGTTCCTGAGCGCAGTCGCGTCTGCAGCTCACCGCTCCCCCAGGGGATGGGTCAAATGCGGAGGACACATTTCGCACACACATCAGTGTGTGTGTGACAACTGATGGGACTTTGACTTTACCAGACCATTTTCAAGACATCAACCAGTTCATCAAACCAAACAGTTCACCCATCCATTTGTCTATCCATCCATCCATCCATCCACTCATCTATCCATCCACTTGTTCACTCATCCATTCATCCATCCATCCATCTATCCACCCATTTATCCACTCATCTGTCCATCCATCCATCCATCCATCCACCCATTTATCCACTCATCTATTCATCCATCCATCCACCTAGCCATCCATTTGTCCATCCATCCAACCATCCATCCATCCATCCACCCATCCATCCACTTATCTATCCATCCATTTGTTCACTCATCTATTCATCCATTTATCCATCCATTTATCCATTCATCCATCCATCCATCCATCCATCCATCCATCCATCCATCCATCCATCCACCCATTTATCCACTCATCTATCCATCCATTTGTCCACTCATCTATTCATCCATTTGTCCATTCATCCATCCATACTCCCATTTGTTCCCTCATCTATTCATCCATTTGTCCATTCATCCATCCATCCATCCATTCATCCATCCATCAATCCATCCATGTGTCCATCCATCCACTCATCTATTCATCCATTTATCCATCTATTCATTCGTTTATCCATTTTCCAACGCCTATCCCGATCCTTGGGGAAACCCATACGAGCCTTGTCCTGCACCAACTGAGGTTTTCCAACGTATTCCATGGCCACAGAGGGAAAATAATACATAATTCCCAGGATCTCCTTCCAAAAGGACATACCTGGAAACCCCTCAAAGGGAAGGTGAGAAGATTTTGCAATCAGATTCCCACACAACCTAAGCCAACTCTTTTTAAAGGCGAGCAGCCTGACCACCCTATGGAGAAAGTTCATTTGATCTTCTCACATCTAGTTCCTTCATTCATGAGGGTCAGTCAAATCTCATGACCATAGGTGATTGTTCAGATAGAGACAGACCCACGATCTCGGAGCTCTGCCTTCAATCCTACAGAGGATGTACCGGCCCGGTGGTTCGTCTCTCACTCCACTGTCAGAGGCTACCGTCAGGGCAAGAAGGTATTTACTTAAATAACTTAGTTTGTGATCTATCAAACACTCAGGAATAACAAGACTCCTAAACTCAAACAGCTTAGTAAAGAACCAGTTCTAGCTTTTCAGGCAGTTTATTACCAGCAGTGTACCACAAAGATGCAGATTGCTTTGGTTTTATTTGAATCTATGAAAATCTTCTTACATTTGACGCAGAAGATGGTTTTTTGACACCAATGGTCACTAGCTGTTGAATGATGCATCTCTCAGGTCCTGTTTCTAATCTCTGCTCGATTTCAGCTCCTTTTTTGGGCCCAGAACTATCTTTTTAGTTCTTCACTCATTCATTTTTGTTTTAAAAGAATATCAACAACAAGTTGTTCTAGTCAGATTCGAGGACGGAAAGCTGAAGCCAATGATGATGACCCCTTTAAAATACCGCTGCTTGAAAACAGGATGTAAGGCAACAAAAGGTGGATTTATTTAGACTTTTGCACATCTCAGAATGATGCGTATCCTTGCAGGGCGTCCAGGTAGGGGGCAATCTGATTTGTCTAGCTCCTGTAGTGGTTCGTTTTCATCAAAACAAACCACTACAGGTTTGTTTTGAATGTGAGTTATTGATGTTTGAATCTGTAAAACGTGCTCAGCGTGTTGCTGCTATGGGGAGAGCAGCTCCTCTGTTTTGTCTTTCTGTACAAAAATAAATTATAAAAAAAACGTGCAACACTTCAGAAATCAGGTAAAAAACTAGAAGTGGACCATTTCTGTTCAGCCTGTGCCAACAGAACTAATAAGTCACAGAAGAACTTACCTGAAAAACACCTAAAACTCAATATCTGAAACATTCTTTCTGAGAAATTGAAGTTAAAAATAGCAACCCTTCTCAGGAGGCATCCACACCGACTACCCCACAGCAACAGCGGAGCAGCAGGAGTGTCGTCCCGCGCTTTGATCGGAATCATCTGCAGCAAATTAGGGTAAAGGGCTTCTGCTGTGATATGAGTGTCTGTGGTAAGTCTTAAAAAAACATCACACTGATTTTGATATAACCCCAGGGCGGAAATCAGAAGGAAAGTGCTGCTGCTGCTGGCAGCTGTCTGCTTGGCTGAAGGGAATATCCTGCTCCCGAGCCTTGGGTTCAAATAACCGGAGAACCGGAGAACACAGGACCTGTTCCCTACCTATTCTGCCTTCCTCAGGATCCACTGATTTCCTATTCACTCTCTCTTTCTTTAGATGTTTTAATCACAATTGTCTATTTTTTGCCCATTTTAAATATATTTTTAATCATTTTCTAAATTCTTTTTTTATATTTTTACATTTTTTGCTTTTGTGAAGCGCCTCGTGATTTTTATCTTGAGAGGCGCTACAGAAATGATATTTTCTTCTTCTAGGAATGAAGCAACAGTAGGGACGGCAAAACATATCAGCATCATTATCGGTATTGGCCGATGTTAGTCATTTCTTAACAAATCAGTATCGGTCCGATAAATAAAACTGGGCCAATATTAACAATCAATATGTTTTCCATCTTGTTTCCATTTGTTTATCTGTTTCAGAGGGTGGGGGTGGTGATGTGTATTTGTTTAGTCATGTGACAGCGACTGTAATCATCTCAGAAGCATACATGTTTGTGGTGTGTGTACATAACGTAAACTCAGCTTTGATCATTTTCATCCTACACAAAATCTGCGTATATCGGTATCGGCAAATATCGGCGATCAGCCATTACGGTGATATTAATATCGGAAATCGGTATCAACCCAAAATTCTCATATTGGTGCATCCCTAAGTAACAGCAAAGGTACGTTGGGGTATTCAAACTGATTTTAAAAGTCTAGGAGGAACATTTTCTTTTAGGATTTTAATTTTATTTCTTTTCAAAACCAACTCTTCAGATAAAAGAACTTTTCATTTGGAGCATTGGGAAAGGCCACGTTACCTGTAAATGGGGTCTTGCATCACCATCATCTTACTTTCATCCCACATCCACTCTTTCTTCTGTAGAAACATAAAAACACCAGAATTTAGGCGTAAATAAAATACAAACAGCAATAAAGCAGATCAAACTCCCTCATCTAGAAAAGCTTATTACAAAGCATGATTAAAAAAAGAAAACACCCATTGTTGGCTTTTATTGTCTGTTTGATTCATTCCATCTTTCAGTTTAAGGTCACAATCAAATGTCAACCCACGGGCACCCAGGAATTATTCATATTGATTTCTGTCTCCACGGTGCCCTTTGTTGACTCAAGTCATTCACTTGCGCTCATCTCCGCCCGTCAATGCCTCTGCCGTACGCCGGCATGTAAATAGCTCGCCGGCAGTAACGTTTGACATTTTAGATTTCAAGGACAAAGGAGAAGGTGAAGGCAAACCCTCTAATCACTGGTTTGAACTATTAAATTGTGCGTTTATTTACCAAATACACCCCAAAACTCATGCTGCGAACTAAAGGAACTAAAATGATTAAAGTCTGGATAAATTGCCCAAACATAAAATATTTTAGACCTTTTTGACCAATAATTGGCGTGGGGTGGATTGTGGACCTCCCCCTCTACCACCGGTTGGCGCGGGCTCACGGTCTGAGCTTGGCTACCGGTTTTGTTATTAAAACTGGCATTTGCAACCTGCTGAGAGAGTTAGCATGTCTGTCTTACTAATGAGAAGGCTAATTAACAAGGCAGCTGGAGTTTGGTGAACTCCTGATGTTGGTTCAGAACAGTGGTACAAGAGTGGCCGTAAGAGGCATTTTTTCTGTTTTCATTTGAAATTTCCTTCGAGTGTGCAGGTGCCCGCAGGTTTGGTGGACGCCAACAAAAAAGCTTTTCAATTGGCTAGGAGCAGCTGACGTCCCATTGTCTGCTCCTTCCAACCATCCACCACTCCGCCTTGTTCCTTGTGTGTGATCAGCAATAGTTAGATTGAGGGATTTTAGTGGTGAACTTTTTTTATTTCACATTTAATGATGAAGTTTTTCTTAATTACTATTGAGACTGCTGTGCTTTGTTATTTTATGCATTAGGTTCAACCTGAATTACCGTCCTCCTCCTTGAGATGAACCATAAGGATTTAATTGTAATGATTGTGAATCCTGTCCACTCGTAACAAAAGTGACGTCCAGTTCCAGTCCCAATCTCCGATGCCTGGTTCAGTGATGGACTGTAACCGTAACCCTCTTCAGGATGACCTTAAGTTCTCAGAAGCCTGTTAACCACCTATTGATTCAAACCAGATGTGTTGGAGCAGAGAAACATCTAAAACATGCAGAATGGTGATCCTCAAGGACCAGGACTGGACACCACCACTTTTGAATAATAAAATAGTCGTGCAATAAAGTACTTTTACTTTCATTTAAACAGATCTAGATTATCATAATTATAAACAATACGTTAACTTTTGTGAGAATTTCTGTCATTTAAAAACAAAAATCCTATTTTAATTTAATTTGCCCAGACAGTTATTTTATCCCACGAGTGTTGCTGAGATGTAGACCCATCTGGATCTCAGTCTGAAACGATTCACAGAATTATTAGAATATTCTGTTTATAAAAAAAAAATCCTCGTGACAAAACTGTAGAATCAAGGCTCCACAGAGCTGTTTCTGAAAGCTAATTCACGTGAAAGATGCAGCTGCAGCTCTGTACACGTCTAATAATCCTGGTAGCATGCACCTGACGTCCTTGTGTAAACGCAGTAGTGTGAAGTTAAAGTTAGAGTCCCATTAGTTTGTTTTCCGCATTTGACCCATCCCCTGGGGGAGCGGTGAGCTGCAGACACAGCCGCGCTCGGGAACCATTTGGTGGTTTAAACCCCCAATCCAACCCCGTAATGCTGAGTGTCAAGCAGGGAGGCATTGGGTCCCATTTTTTTCAAAGTCTTTGGTATGACCCGACCAGGAATCGAACCCTGATCTCCCAGTCTCAGGGCGGACACTCTACCACCAGACCACTGAGCTGCAAAAACATCAGCATTGGAGCCATGGAATTGGCAATTTTATAATCAGTGGGGATGTAAGAAAATATTGATATGGCAATACATCATGATGTTTTTTCTTGCAATATTACATCGGTATTAACAAGCCGTGTATCTAATTTTTGGAAGAATTTACATGCAAACATTTGTGTTTTTTCTTTTCTTTTGGTTCAATTCAAACACCGACCACTAGTTGGCAGCAGTGTGCAATGGGTTTTGTTTCCACCACTGAAATGTAAATCCTTCTGTCATGACTCAGATACCTCATATTAAACATTATTTGTATCAGTTTGGACTGTTTATTGAATTTTCCTACAAAAAATTCAGTCTAAAATATCGCTAACATCATCTGGCTGAATGTAACGCAATATATATCGAATCGTCTCCCCTGTATCGTGATACGTATCGCATCGCCTGAATTTAATCAATACACGTCCCTAATAATCAGTAGGGCTGAACAATTTGAGGAAAAGATAGAATTGCAATTTTTGTAGCCGAGGTTGCGATTTCAGTTCAATTCACGATTTTCTTCAAACAAAGGTACAACACTAGCCTGCCAAGCCATTCTGTATATTAACTCATTCACTGCCATTGACAACTAAAGTCGTCATGTGCATTTTGTTACTGTGTGGGCGTCGGACGAGCCCCCGCGTTGAGAGAACAAACATCCCAGCTCTAAAGCCGATCTTCATCCGCATACGTCACATGTCACGTGATCAGGAAGCAGAACATCCATGTGTTAAGAGATCGTTTTGGGCCGTTGCTGTAAAAAAAAGTGAGGCGCGAACCGGAAAAGCTTCTGCCGATCACAGTTCAACAACGGATTATAAAAAGAACGGATAACACTCGAAACACGCGGATTCTTCCTGATGTAAGAGGTGAGTCTCCGCTTTGTTTTGGTTGTTTTGGTGTCGACATCATAAAGCTCAATGTTCTGTGACTCTTAAAAAAACAATAAAACGCTGAAAAACGCTGGCAGCGACGGGCTTTTCTGATCAGGAAACGGCCGGCACTGAATGAGTTAAGTGAGAAGATGGTCTAGATTCTAATCTAGTACAACAAATCATTCACATTAATATTTACTATCTTATCATACAATAAAAACAGTTAAAGTTAATCATATTTTCTCCCATTATTATCTTTTTTCATGTGCTTGTGAAGCAACTTGTGGTTTTTATCTAGAGAGGAGCTTTATAAAAAACATGCTCTTGTTCTACTCCAAAAACGGAAGAAGGAAATCTGAAGGTAGAAACAGCTTTCAAATGTATTAAATAACAAATAATGTACAGTTTTCCCTGCATCAGCAAGGCAGGCTGGCTGCACGTTTTTCAAACCATTTTTAAAAGAAGCGGAACTTTCACGTCAACCCGCGCTGATGAAGCATAAACCAAGCTTTAAAAATCAGCCTGAACCTGCTCCGCTGTGGGAGGAGTCTCTCGCCCTCACTCAACTATGGTGCCATTATTATTAAAATAAAACAGCGAAAATAACCTAAATGTGCAGCTCTGTCAGCTGTGGAGTTGGGCTCGGCTCCAGATGGTACACCCACCCCCCCACCCCCCTCCCCCGCGCTGGCTGTTGTCGCCACCATTACACAGGGGGAAACCTCGGATGTAAAAAAAAAAAAAAAAGTTGCAGAACAGATCCTGGATCAGACAAAACCCCCCAGAAATGCTGCTTTGACTTTCAGCCCTAATAATCAGTGTTCAAATCAGATAACAAAAATGTCTCTAATATGGTTAGAAACGGATTTAAAAAGCATCGCAGAGGGGTCACTTACTTTTTTCTTTTTTCTCAAAGTGACCTTGACGCCTTCCACAGACACCACGATGTTCACTTTCTTCTTCTTGATATTTTTCACCTTGAACTCGTACTGCAAAGAGAAGACAAACATGCACTCAGTCTTGGGATGAACTCGGCATTAGCATCGGTATTGGCCGTTGTTGGATGTGCCATACTGGCAGGGTCAAGGTAACATGAGGAGGACCTGAAGCGCTTTCTTAAAATGTAAGAATTCTGAAGCAGATATCGATAAAACTGCCCGTCTTCCTCATGTCTCACTCAAGGGAATTAAGAGTTAAAGGTGCAATATGTAAGAATGACATCCTGCCGTCAAATTTGGCTACCGCAATCACTTTCTCACTCCCGTTGGGCGAGTTCCATGGCTGTTGCCAGTTAAGGATCAGCACCAGAAGATTCTAGATGACAAGCAAAGACGAGCAGATAAATACATTGTCATAGCTGGTGTTAGCACTCTTGGGTGTTTTACTGTAGGGAGCACTTACTACACTTATTATGGTAATAAGTCTCTGGGGTTGGAATAAGTGTTGTTTGCCGTCTTGCTGTTAGCTTGCCGTTTTAATTCTGAACAACTCAATAAAGGAAGTCAAACACCACGATTCACTCATTCACTTCACACACACACACACACACACACACACACACACACACACACACACACACACACTCCACTGTGATATCCAGTTGTTGGTAAAAGTAGATTGAGATATTTTTAGAACCGACTATTTGCCTCTAATTCACGGTTAGCATGGTTAGCTCAACATTAGCCTCTAGCCTGCTTCACCCGGTATTGGAGTAAAACAAAAAGATCTTGTAACGCCTTAGGTGTACAAGAAATAACTTCTGGATCGCTCCTGTTCACTGGCTTCGGATCTTTAAACAACTCTGGAGCTTTTTTCCTGCCGTTGTTGAATTCCAAATCTCGGCGCTGCTGCGTTAGCTCGGTGCAGATTCAGCAAACTCACAGAGCGTAAACAGGAACTATGTCTCTCTTTAGTTTTTTTTAGAAAGCCTGACAGTGGGTGCTAAGGGTGCTAAAAGTAGCCAACAGGAAGAAACAGACAAGGATGCAGCGACAGAGACAGCAACTGTGATGTTGGTTATGGGCCACAACAGCACAATATCGGCCCAATTTTTCATTTTGGTATGTCTCCAATTCAGACTTAA